TTTTTTTTTTTTTTTTTTTTTTTTTTGGTACCAGGGATCAAACTCAGATCCTTGCACTTGTGAGTTAGGCAGCAGAACCACTGAGCTAAATCCCCAGCCCTTCTCGTTATTAATCGCTGTCAATTCATCCAGCCATCCAGTGATATTTACCGAGCAACTCCCATGTTCTAGCAGAAAGGTGCTGACTGGGTTAGGTGCCGTGGGAGAAACGCAAGGGGCAGTCACTGCTCATGATTTTGTTAGTATGCGTGACACTCGTCTGTGAGCACACGAACTAGCATGCAAGGGACAGTCTCAGGCGGGGGACCCAGCAGGACGAGCTGTCGTGGAAGACTGGGGAAGTGGTCTTGAAGTGAGGCTGAATTGGAAGCCAGCAGAGCTGAGTGGGCACAGTGACAGCTGTTGGCCTGAGGGAATGGCAGAGTGACTGCAGGTATTTCCTCTAGCCTCCAGGCGAGAAGGAAACTCAGCCCTGTAGACCCCTTCCCTCCCATGTTCTTCCAGTGTAGAGGCTGGGTGGGTCTGGCTCAGGCCAGGAGGAGCAGTTGCTGCTGCTTCTCACCTCTCTGTCCCTGCCACTCCTCCTCCCGCCCTTTCTGTCTGTTAGGTTTTTAGCATCATTTCAGTGCAGAGCAATCTCACCCCTACTCCTGTGCCTTTGTGCTGGAGGGGCCGGGTCATTTGTCACTGAGAATGTCGCCGATGCATTCCTCGTCCTGTCCTTTCTGGTGTCCCCATTCTTGTGTGTGGGCCTTGAGGGGCTGCACGCGCATGGCCCCTGCCCAGTCCTCCTCCTCCTGCTGTCCACACCTGAGGGCTGGGTGTGGGTGGGTTCCAAGTCCGAGGACACCATGGGGTCTGAGAATGTGGGTGCAGTGTCTGTGCAGAGTGGGAGTTCGGTGTATTGAGGCAGAGACAAGATGGGCTCTCGAGGGCCGGTCACCTGCACGTCACCTGCTGCGTTCCCGGCACCTAGCAAGGCTTCCTGACCTCAGTGAGCCGAACCACTTCGCTCACTGAGACCTTGGGCCCACAGGTATGTGTCCACCATGGCACCATCTACCCCGTGGGGCAGTTCTGGGAGGAAGGCTGCAACATGTGCACCTGCACGGACATGGAGGATGCCGTGATGGGGCTGCGCGTGGCGCAGTGTTCTCAGAAGCCCTGCGAAGACAGCTGTCGGCAGGTGAGTGGGCAGGGTGGGTACTTATGTGGGGAGCCCCTAGGGTTGGGGAGTAGGGAAGGGACCCCAGGGAAAGACAGGAAAGGTCCTCCGGGAATGCCAGCTTCACAGCCAGAGGGGTGCAGGAAGGAGGAGGGTGGGGCCGGGCAAGAAGGAAGCAGGACAAGAGAAGGCCTGCTGTGTCTGCCATGGGCTTCCAGCCTGGCTGGGTTCAGCCTGCTTCGGGGCTGCGGTCCAGAGAGTGCGGGAGACACAGAGCAGTAAATGTCTCTCAGAGACTTGACCGCTTTCCTCTCTGCTCCCCCATCGGCAGCCCCTTAGCCTCCCCAGGAAGACACTCTTGTTCTCAGTCCCCTGACTGCTTCCGTGCCAGTGCACCAGCGTGCTTCTGCACAGACTGGTGATTTGCAGACCACGTTTAAATGTGAGGTCCAGAAAACGGCCAGTGTCCCCCAGGCTCTGCCTGCAGTGCTCTGCCCTTAGGGTTCCTGATTCTTGCTCACTGGAGGCGGATCATGGCCTGGAAGACAGCAACAGTCCTCGGGGAGAACTGTGGGTCAGACTCTGCTGCTGGCTCATAGCGGCCATGGGGAAGCGAGTCCCAGGGGCAGCAGAGACGCACACCTTGAGGTTGCTTTGCCAGTGATGGCAGCGAAGGCCAGAGTTGTGATGCTTTTGGGGGGCGGATGGTGTGGCGATGAGGGAGGGAGGGCCTGGCAGCCACGTCAGCTCTTGAGCTTGCATTGCTGGTGCCACAGATGAGCGGAATTGCTGGGTGCCACTGGGAGGGGAGGATGCTGTGGGATCCTTGCGTGTCTTTTGAGGGACTTCATCAAAACCTTTTGGCCTCCTTGCTGTCCATAGGCCATGGGCAGTTAGGGCAGTGACTTATCAGATAAAGAGGGTAATTTAAATAAAATTGTGCTCAAGGTGTTTTATATCAGTGGAGAATTTTGATCGCAAAGAATGCAACCCTCTCAAGTTAGATTTAAAAAGGGATTTAAGGAAAAGGCAGGAATGAACCTCCTAGAAATGGAGAAGGAAGTAAGGGAGGGCAGCAGGGTGGTTCGACATTTCTGTCCGCCTGCCCTGTGCCTGTCTCCTGGGTTTCTCTGTCTGTACCCTGCAGCCCCTCCCTGCAGGCCAGCTCTGCTTTTGGACACCTGAGCTTTCTTATCTACTTCATTGCACATAGTGTTACGGAGTCCAGCTCCAACTCCTCATGGCTTTCCATGCCTGGAGTGCACTCTGTGAAGCCTGACTTAGCCGGGCTTCATGGGCCAACTTCTCAACAAGAGAAGCGGGGGATTCAGCTGAGCTCAGGGACCAGGGCTCTGTCCCGGTCCACTCCGGTCCAGCGAGTAGGGGAGGGCGTGGCTCTCCTGATTGAGCTTGGCTGTCCTGAGGCCATGGCTTTTAACAGCTCCCAGAAGAAGGTGGCTATGGAGGCCAGGGTGAGTAGGGGAATGTGTCCAGAACTCTTGGCTCTGTGAGGCTCTAGGAAACACACTTTCCACAAGATTCTCTTTAGCTCCCCTCCTTATGTCAGAAAAGTGATGTAAAGAAAGCAAGGGGCATTTCTAATATTTAAATCTACCCAAAGACTCACGTGTGGAGGATGTCGTTAACAGTGTAGCTGTGTTCTCAAGTGGCCACCAGAGAGGTGACTGGGTCCAGAGAGCAGAAATCCCATCAGTGGATCAATCCGTTGTGATTTGCCACTTATTGGGTTGACAGGAGGTAGGGTCCAGCTGGAGAAAGTGGGTCACTGGTGGGCTTGCCGTTGGAGGGTGTGTCCTGTCCCCACCACCTCCTCTCTCTGGATCTCTTGCTTTTTCTCTGCTTCTTGCCTGCCACGAGGTGAACAGATTTCCTTTGTCCTTCTCCCGCCTGGAGCCAGCGGCCCATGGACTGAAACCTGTGAGACTGCGGGCCAAAATAAGAGGTTGGTCACTGGGCACAGCCTCTTGACGCAGTCAGGAGAAACACTGAATGGGGGAGACGTGAGGCTGCTGTTGTGTATCACGACACTTTATGTATAGCCACTTCTCTCTTTGGATAAGCAGAAAGAGCGAACTCTAAGATAACGATAAAGCTATAGCTGTCATATGTTACTGAGTACTCTGTACTGCACAGTTGTGTGTGGTCCTCTTTTTTATGAGTGGCTGAGAAGTAAGTTTGTTCACATCCTCACTGCCAGACTGTTAGGTTTGTGTAACTGGCAACTGCAGGGCCTCCAGGGCCAGTGTGACCCAGGGAAGGGGGACAAGGCCTTCACACTGTGCTTCTGGGACCTGAGCTCCATAATCCCACCTCCACACCTGCTATAGCAATCACATGTCAAGGACTTCACTGATAAATGAATTAGGAGTTTAGTTTTCAGTGGTGCAGATCTTCAGGTTGGGTGGATACTGTTCCTGCTTAATTGGGAAGCCAGTGAAAAGAGGTGGGGAAGACAGGAGGAGGACCTGAGATGTGTGTTCTGATACAATATAGCAAGTATAGGTCTAAGCTGGAGGGTTTGGAGGAGCAAGGAAAAAGGCAGACAGAAATGTGGGGTGAGCCCCGGTCCTGTGTGGAAGCATGGGCTATGGGGGGAAATTAAATTTGGTGGTGTGGCAGGGGGTGTCTAGCAGGAGAAGTTGATGGGGTCTTTGGGATCAAAGTGTTTGGTCTTGATACTGACATGGTGCCCCAGAAGACAAAAAGCAGGCACACACCGGCACCTTTGGGAGCATCACAGAAGTTAATGCCTCCTCCGGGTTCCCTGGAGTCTGAGTCCTGTATGGCATTGATCCGTCCTGCCTCTGCGTGGAGTGGAGGGGCTGGAGGCTGTGCCATCGTGGCTCCTCCTTGGTGCCTGGTGCCCTCACCAGTGCACAGGGAGTGGCTGGGTTCTCAGTCGATGGGAGCTGGGGACGGCTCACTGCGCGCTGCCGTGACGTGGGTAGCATTGTCAACAGGTCCCATGGAGACCCTGTGAACTTGAGCTGGGTCTCCAGAGCAGCCGTGTGCTCCTGGGGGAGGCAGCGTTGTGCCGCTCCTGAGGTGGCCCTGCCTGGAAGTGAGCTTGGGGAGGCCTGCAGGCTCGGCACGCACACCACTACCCAAAACAGCCCAAGAGTGCGCTCCGAGTTGAAGCCCTGGCCTGGTTCTTTGCCCTTGGCTCTTGGGACAACTGCACTGCATAGTTTTTTGTCACTCTTGAGTCTTTGTTCATGGCTTTTCGGAGGTGTTTCAGTCCAAGTTCCTAATGCTTTGACTGGATTGGAGGACTTTCAGAGTCAAGGTGGGTGGACAGACTCCAGGGTGCAAAGGTCCCTCCTGGGCTCTCTGTCTTCAGTTGTCTCAGTTTTCCTTTGTAAAGACTGCTGCACCCTCTACACTGCTGGGCAGTTGGCATGCACCTTGCAGGGGAAGCGTAGCCTCCTGCTGTGTGACGAAACATCTGAGAGAATAAGGTAAAGGGAGCAAAGCGTTATTTAGGCTCATAGTTTCGGAGATTTCTGTCCATGGTCAGTTGGCTTTGGTCCTATGATGGAACAGGGGGTGTGTGGGAGCCAAGCACTTTCCCTCATGGCTGTTGGGAAGGATGGGGGAGGGGGGCTAGAGTGCCCACATCCTCTTCCAGGCTGTAGCCCCAGTGACCTAACTTGCTTTCACCAGGACTCACCTCTGAAGCCTTCTGCCGCCTCCAGGTGGAGCCACAGGCAGGTGACCAGGCCTTTCACATATGGGCCTTGGGGACCTTTAAGGTCCCAGCTGTAACTAGGGGGAGAGGTGCTGGCTCAGGGCACTTACTGGTGTTGGGTCAGCCCGTTAGAGCAGAGCAGAGGAGACCTCAGGCCCCGCGAGTCAGTGAGGAGCCCTACATCTGCTTAGCTGCGTCCAGTGAACCCTAGGCATCTCAGTGTCCTCACTGCCTGGATCTTGGCCTTAGGCACAACCTGCGGTGGGCAGGGCTCGTCTCCTCAGGTGGTGGAGGCACAGAGACACAGTGGCTGAGGCTCTGGAACCCCTTCTCGGCATGGATCTGAGGCCAGCACACAATGGACACGAAGCCCGCTAGCCTGCCCAACAGTGTCAGCCCCAGGGCTCCATGTGCAAAAGACAGATGGGCACACGGGGGTCTTAGCTGCTCCCTCCTCACCATTTTCTTGTTTCCCAGGGCTTTTCCTATGTCCTCCACGAAGGCGAGTGCTGTGGGAGGTGCCTGCCAACTGCCTGCGAGCTGCGGAGCGGGTCACCGCGGGGCGACACAGGCAGCACAGTGTCTCTGTGGAAGAGTGTAGGTCCGGGCCGTGAGGGTGGGGAGGACAGGGACTTGCCTGCCTGGAATCCGCTCTGTGGGCCAGTGTGGGCCTTGGGTTCTTTTCCCTTGCTGCCTTTGCCTTCCCACAGGGGTTTAGTCAGACTGTGGGTGTCAGTCAGATTCCCATTGGGATGGCCGGGCCCTTAGAACTAAGTAGTTCAGACTGTGCAGCCTTCCCGTTTGGTGGCTTTCGTGAGAAGCCCAATCCGGTCCCTGAGAGGCCTGTGAGCTCCCAACAGCCTGTGGTTTCCTGTTCACCCTGGAATCCGAGGTCCTGCGGCCCCTGTTGCCTGGCTTGTGGATGGCCTTGCCCTGCTGTGGCCTGTGCTGTGGACCTGCTGCCTCTCCAGAGCTCTGTACATCAACCTGGGCCTCGGACCTCAGCACGGATCACCGCTGATGCCCCCTGCTGGTGCTGGGGGTGGAGAATGGATAACCCAGGGAAGCAAGCAGCAGTTCTGTTCTCGAAGTCCCTCAGAAATCCGGGCACGTGCAGTGCTAGTGTCCTTCATGTTGCCGTCCCCTCTCCCCCGTCCTCACACGTTCCCTCCTGTCTGGCCCCCACCCCAGCCAAATTCGTTTTTTTGTGATGCAGCTTCTCAGCTGCCTCTGCTATGGCCATGGTGCCCACTGTAATGCTGGATGCTATGAGTCCATATTCCCAGACAGAGAAATCCCTCCTCAGGGATTTTGGTCCCCACACCTGGCTAAGAGCAGTTCTGCAACCAGAAGGGAAGAGAGCTAGGTCCTGGGAGCCTCGGGGCAGTGCTAGGGCTCTGTCTCCTTCAGTCAGACTTGCTTTGTAGAGAGGGAGTCTAAGGATGAGCTGGCCAGTGACCTTCTTTCCAGGCGGCTTCTCCGCAGAGATGACTGAATCGCCCAGGTGTTTTTCCTGTGATTCCACCTACCCTACTAGAATCCAAGTTACCTGTTTATTTCTCTTCCTGTGTTCTCACTTCCCACCTGTTTAGTGGTTCAGCTTCCTGTCCATCTGGATCAGAGGCAGATTTTATCTCCCTGAACCTGGTCCCTGGCTTGGATCAGCGGCCGTTTGGTCCTGTTGAGGGCTGTGCCCCTGGAGTGCAGTGGTCCTGCCCTGCCACCTCTCACTGCCCTCGGGCTTCACAGCCGGGCCCACATCGGTGCTGGCAGAACACGTGGCCACCGAGCCTCGCTCCTCCACCTCCCATCTCCATCTGGCCCGCAGGACTCGGTGCCTGGGAGCCCGTCAGGGAGGGATGGCAGGGTACAGAGAAGGGGTCCCTGTGAAGGACCCCATAGCCAGGGCTCAGCAGGGGCCTGCAGCAGGGAGGTTTGGTCATAGTGAGCTGGAGTGGAAGGCAGAGAGAATGGTCACGGTGTCGTGGCACCTCCTGCTTCTCATCTGGACCCAGGAGAAAGAGCAGGAATCGAGAGAGGCGGGTTGGGAGCCAAGAAGGTCAGCTGTGGCTGTGTCCAACTGGCTGCAAGTCCAGCCTGGCTATAGCAGGTCTTCCAGGCCCATGGTCCTGGGCCCTTTAGTTCTCTGCCATGCAGCCAGCCTTGGAGATCAGGGCACCCTGTGCAAACATAGACACCCCAGTGACAGGCTGGAGAGCCCCGGTCTGGGACCAGCACTCGCCGGTTCTGGCTGGCCCTTCTCCACACAGGGGTGGGGGAGTGGCCTGGGGGGAAAAGGGTGCACCACTCTGATCCGCACTCTCTCTGCCAGCTCACGCAGCCCAGGGCCCTGCTGGGGTTGGGGGTGGGGGGCACATCCCCTGCCTTCCCTAGGTGCACTCAGCTGGCTGCACACGGTGGCATAGATGTGTCTGTGGCTCTGAGCTAGAGTCTTGCTCAGGCTGACCTTGACCCTGACTCTGGGTGGGACTGGGGTGCTGGGCCAGGATTCCCTGGGCCTGTGCGCTGCCTTGGGCTCTGGCCCCAGCCTTGTCTGGCCCTTTGGCCCCTGTGCTCTGCAGGTTGGCTCCCATTGGGCCTCCCTGGAAGACCCCTGCCTCATCAATGAGTGTGTCCGTGTGAAGGACGAGGTCTTCGTGCAGCAGAGGAACGTGTCCTGCCCCCAGCTGGAGGTGTCTGCCTGCCCCGTGGGCTTCCAGCTGCACTGCCGGACCTCGGAGTGTTGCCCCAGCTGCCACTGTGGTGAGACCCATGGGGTGGGCCCGGACCTCTGGCTTCTCCTGCTGCTGCTGGCGCCTGAATTCTTTGCCCTTTTAGCAACTTGAGGAAAATGGGCAGGACCAGAATCTTTCCAGTTGTCCCTCGTACACGTGTGACAAGCAGATAAGGAGGGCAATAGAGCAGCTTCCTTTGGAGACCCAGCTCTGTGCTGCTGATTTGACAGTTTTGCCGCTGTCTGGAGGCTTCTTGGGTGGAGGACTGGGGCCCCACCCAGGTTGTCCCCGACTCTGGGCACCGCCTCTCCGCCATGCTGTGTCACTTGATGCAGGAAGAAGTCTTTCATTTTGCCACCTCTAACCCTGCCCTTGGATGGATGACATCTGGCAAAACTACCAGAAACTGGCTCTCTACTCTTCATGCCTTGAGGGAGTTTCTTTTGGGACTGAAAGTTCCAAGAGCAGAATTTCATTCTTTCAGAAACTCACCCATTCCTTAAGTATAAACTCAGATATGTGAGCAGCAGCCCTTGGAGATGGAGCGGCTCCTCTGGCGCTGGCTGGGTCAGGCGGGCCCAAGTTCCTCTCAGGAGGACCCAGGGCACCCAGGGGTGGGGTGTGGTAGAAGGAAGGGCTGAGATAGAAAGGCTCGGACTGCCCCAGCTTGGCCTGGGGAGCTGAGTCCACAACCCGTCTGCTTCTCTCCACTCAGAGCCCGTGGAGGCCTGTTTGATCAATGGCACTGTCATCGGGGTGAGCCGGGGCAGTGGGAGGCCGCACCCAGTGGTTCCACAGCCGTACTTCCGCTGCCTGCTGGGCTTCCTGGCACCCAGAGCCAGGCAGTGGCCGCTCCCCTGGGGCTGGGCCGTGCTGTCCTGCACTCTGTCCCCATGTGGCACGAGGACCTCCCTCCCACCACGTCCACACTGGAGTGGGTGGAGACCCGGGAGCGCACTGCACCCTGGGTGGGTGGGCAGAGGTCCTCCTGTAGGCCGGGAAGGAGCCTGAGCTGTGCCTCCGCTTGCAGCCTGGGAAGAGTGTGCTGCTGGACGAATGCACCTCCTGCCGCTGCACGGCGCAGGGCAGCACTGCCCCTGGGTTCAAGCTGGAGTGCAGGAAGACCACCTGCCAGGCCTGCCCCCCGGTAAGGGACCCCGCTGTGGACCTCGCAGGGTCCTCAAATGCATCGTGCCTTATTTTCTAATTGTGAAACTGGCCGGCAGCTGTCAACAGGAGGCTTATCACCGTCGGCCATCCAAATCCCATCTCTGTGAAATAATTACAATGCAGTACTGTAAATTTTAAATGTTTTCTTCCTGTGTCTTCTTACAATACTTGCAAGGCTGATGATGCTATGTTTATAGTGTTTTATCTTTTTAAACGCATTGAAAGTAACATATTGCCATCCTTTGAAAACACTGAAAATGAATCCAGTAGGGTCTCAGACACTGGCAACGCAGATATGGCTGTGAATGGAGGCCCTAGGCATGGACGCCAGCCTTTGATTATTGGGTTAAGTGGTTTAAAATATTTCCTGTTGTTTTGTTTTGTTTTTAGTACTGGGGATTGAACTTGGGTCCTTGCACTTTCGAGGCAAGTGGCAGAACCACTGAGCTAAATCCCTGGCCCCTATTATATATTTTTTGTAACCAAGTCATGATGACTTCACATGTTTAAATGCCCCTCCAGGTGAATCTCAGCATTTCTAGTTTGATAGATGAAGATTTGTGTTTCACTTCTTTTTAACTGTATTTTGGTTCTGTTTATTTTTTAACTTAAAAATAATTTTTTTGGCACATACAATTATACATATTTTTAGGGTTCCAAGTGACATCACCCTTTTAGTTTTACTTATTTATCTATTTTTTTGAGACAGGTTCTTGCTTTGTAGTTCAGGCTGGCCTTGAACTCACTATGGAGCCCAGGCTGGCCTCGACCTCATGGCGATCCTCCTGCCACAGCCTCCTGAGTGCTGGAATTACAGGCGTGTGCACCATGCCCAGCTCAAAGGAGAATTATAGGCTGGGTGACGGGGAAGGGCCGAGGACAGAAGGAGGGGCACGATGGGGGCCAGGTGGTCACACGGGTGCTGCCTGCCCTTTGGAGCACAAGACGGGAGTGCCCTGCATCTGTGTCCTCCACGGCACACGCCCAGGCCAAGCTCAAAGTAATCAGAGGTGTCTGCAGGGGGATCTGATAGCGTGGTTCAGAGAAAGGGGCTAATGAAGCATGTTTCCTTCTTTTCTTTTTCAAATCCCAGTTGCTGTTTTAGGGTTTGAGGCCTGGAGTATGTGCGTGCGTGTGCGTGTGCATGTGTGTGTATGTGTGTATGCGTGTGTGTGTGTGTGAGTGTGTGTGTGTAAAACCACACCCGGATATATCTGGGCTTCGATATGGAATGAAGTTATGCTATCTGGAATCACACGTTATCCCTTCCACCTTGGTTGTGCACTACGGTGACACAGTGACAGACACAGTGCCCGGTCCACCCAATGGGAGGGCACCTGTCACCCCTGCTCTACAGCGCCCTCTGGTGTCCACAAACTCACACGGTCCCTTTCCTGGCCTTCAGAGACACCCTGCGTTAGAATACTCTAGATGTAGGTTTCAAAATGTTTGAAAACCCAGGGCCTTTTCTTAGTGTGTGCATTCTTCTTATTTTCCTCCAAAATTCCAGTATGTCCCCAGGCCGTGTGTCCTTTCTCCCTCTTGTGGACCCCTAGGTGAGCCTCTCTGTGCACCCCTCAGGCCTCGCGGAACCCTGGCTTTGTTGGCCCAGGTCTAGGTCAGCACCCACCCAGTCTCATTGTGTTCCTCTGCCAGGAAGGGCTTTGTGAGCCGCACATAGTGAGGGCCGGCGTGAGGGGCCAAGGTAGTGTTCTCCGGGCCTGGGGGGCAGGGTGCTCTGAGGCGGGCAGGAGCAAGGTGCTGCAGGTGAGCGGTGGCTCCCTCCTGAAGGGATCCAATGCCTGGGGAGAGCCTGAGAGCAGGGCCCCTCTCAGGGGGGTGGGGCCGGGCAGCGCTCAGCAGGAGTCACGCGACTAGACCTATCTTAAGAGTGTCATTCCAGCAGGTGTCTGGTGACTTACAGTACAGGGGCAAGAATGAAATTAGGAAACCAAAATGAGACTGTTTCCAAAGTCCTGACTGCCCAGGCTGGATGATGATAGAGGATGAGGTTGTGACTAGTGGTGGATGAGTATGAGATGCATTTTCACAAGATTTGGTGAAGACTGGGGGTGAGGAAAGGGAAGAATGGAGGCGTCAGGATGATTTCTAGATTTCCTGTTTGAGCAAGTAGGTTATCTCACCAGCTACCAAGATAAGATTGAATGGAAAGGGCACTATTTGGAGCCAAAATCAAGTATCATTTTGGCTATGAATCTCATGATGGTAATAAGATAATGAATTGTTCAGCAAATAATTCAAAGTATGATTCAGGAGCCCAGGTCAGAGGTATAATGGGTGGGATGCAGCATGATGTGTGTACACATGGAAGGAAGAAATGTGTCTCAGGCGGAGCACAGACAAAGCTAGCTAGAGAGCGGCGGAGGTTTCTGAAGGCCACCTGACTCCCCGAGCTGGGAGAGCAAGGTGAGACTGCTGTGCCTGTGTCTGGGTTAATGTGGCTGCTGTCTGCTGTCTCGGACACAGGGTTACCAGGAAGAGAAGAGCCCAGGCGAATGCTGTGGGCGGTGTCTGCCCACCGCCTGCACCATTCAGCTGAGAGGAGGACAGATCGTCACGTTGAAGGTGAGAGCACGCTGAGCTAAGAGCCTACTCCCGTGGCATCGACTGGTCTCCTGTGTCGGCGTCTTCAGGAAGGAGAAACATTGGCTTCTTTTCCTACTTCCTTCTAGTTTGATGAGGAAAAGATGATAGACTGGCAGGGGGCGCAGGACTTTCTTTTTAATAGACCTGTTCTCATGCCCAGTGATACATGAGTCAGTGGGTGCATGGCCTCGGAATTTGAAGTCAGTTCAACTCAGAGATTTTCTGTAGCTCAGGGGACTGGACGGGCATTCGGAGGCAGAAGACTTGGAGCCACCAAAGCCAGAGGTGTCTGGTGGGGTTGAGGGGCGAGGCTCTCAGCCCAACTCTCAGTCGGTTACCAGTGACAGCCAGTCTACTCCTGTGTGGTCACTGTGATCTGAGGGTTTCCACATTTCTGCAGCCCTGTTCGTAGTAATTACGCATAAAGCTGGGATCCACTTCTGTTTCGTGTTCTGAGTGTGGGGACTGTATGTATGTCTCATTCGTGTTCCACACTTCTCCAGCTCATTTCAGTAATTGCAGAAGTCAGGGCCATGCTTTGGAACCTAAACTGTCTTCGCATTTCCTGTCCTCATTTCCTGTCTTCCCTTCAGCGCGACGAGATGCTCCAGGACGGTTGCGACAGTCACTTGTGCAAAGTCAACAAGCTGGGAGAATACATCTGGGAGAAGAGGGTCACAGGCTGCCCGCCCCTGGATGAGCACCGGTGCCTGGCTGAGGGGGTGAGTGGACGCAGCTTGGACCTGGCCGTGGTCGGCACTGTCTCCATCTGTGACTCCCGAAGTAGAGCTCTGAACGCACGAATTCCAGGTCCCCAGTGACTTCCCAGGGTTCCAGGCAGACTTGGCCTCATTGAGGAGCTGATGGCATTGCAGAGCCAAAGCCTGATGGAGAGGACAACACTCTGCAGTAGAGGATGGTTTACCAAGACAGCCTTTCGGAGAGGGGATGTGGATCTGTGATCTGTGATCCTTGAATAGGGAAGTGCGAATCAGGGATCTTGGTTTCCAGGAAGGAGGATCCATATGATGGGGTTAGAAGAGAATTCAGAGTAAGCACGGTTGTTACACATAGGACGCTCAGTCAGCTCACATTTGGGGCAGGAAAGTACAGTTTACATCTGGAGTCTTCAGCTCATGGCTGTGAGTCCGGAGCTAAGAATGGATCCAGAACAACTTGAAAACTGCGTCCACTATGAACTACTTCGGCCTAACCTAAGCCTTTGCTATTTTCTTAGGGGAAAATCAGGAAAATTCCAGGCACCTGCTGTGACACATGTGAGTACATTAGTAAAAGCTCGTCCCCTGAAACGCATTGCACCAAGCTCAGGCACCAATGGAGTAAGCTTTATTCCAGAAAGATATTTCTTGGTTACTGGCCAGTCATCCTGTTCAAGCCGGCAGGGAACCTCTTCCCTCTTTAAGAGTCACTGGGCTGCCCCTGCTCAGATCCCATACCCGCTGCTTCCCATCTCTTCCCAGTTTCCCTTCACGGTCCTCGGTTGTTCACAGACCTGTCCTGAGAGGAAATCTTCTCACTCCAACCCAAAGACAGGCACAGCTGGTCCGTGACCTTGGCAGGGTAGATGCTTGCCAAACATCTGCTCAGAGAACCCTGGAGAGAAGGGGAACGGCCGCTGGGCTAAAAGTGGCCCAAGTTTGTCATCTCCCTGTTTTCATACTTGCTCCCCTGCCCTTGCAGTTGCCACATGGACCGGCTCTAATCAGTCACAAGCAGCAGTTTGGGAGATGCATGTCAGAGAGCACTGTTCCCACACGCGCATGTGTTCACAAGCACAAGCGACTTACAGTTCCTTCCCTGGACTACTCTTTTTTGTTTTCAGTTTGGTTTGTTTTGATTCAGGGGCCCATGCCTCTACTGAGGCAGAGAGAGGAGTGTAAGTGTGAAGGCCTTCAGTGTTCAGCCATCCTTCAGCTTTCTGTAGCTCGCTCCGAGTCCCTGTGATTGGCATAGGCACAGTGCACATTGGGAAAAGACACCCTGAAAGCGTTTCTTCCCGTAATTCCCCCTGCATGGCTTAAGAAAGGGGGATTGGGAAACCATCAGGGAAGATGAGCTCTCCCTGTGCACCGTGTGTAGAATTTGGTTGGGAGACTGTTATCTACGGACCAGCAGCCAGGGGCCCTTGTTGTTAGAATGTTCAGGAGGCTCTGAGACGTTCTGTAGGGAAAACAGACTGAGCTTGGGGGTTCCATCGACAGCAGAAGAGTACCGCGTGTTGTTCTAAGTGTGTTTCCCTGCTTTGTGCTCTCTCTGTAGCCAGCAGACTTTCCCTTTAGAATGAAGTTATTTGAAGCGTGGAGGCAGACTACTCTGCAGCTGTGGTTACTTTGGTTTTCCACTCCCATATTCAGCTGGGGATGGGTGGGGTGTCAAGCGAGAGAGCCTCAGGTGTTAGTGCCACTGTCTGTAAGGAAGCCTGTGTTGGCACCATGAAGGTGGCTCTGCCCTGGGCAGAACTGCACCTGTGGAGGCTGCTGGGGTTTCCTTGGCCCCCACAGGGGCAGTGACCTCTGCCTGTGCTCTTATCCAGAGGCAGAGATGGATTTCAGATGAACCCATTTATTGGCATCAAGCTGGTCACTGGCTGCCCCTCTGCCCATTTTCTTCTGCATGCAGTCATAGCACGAGAGGCCTGTTCCAGCCACTGTGCTCTCTGGAGGCTACAGCCACACAAAAGTAACTGGCATCCACCTACCTCAGCAGAGCGCAGTGCAGTTACACTTACACCTTTCAGGGAGTTAAACACAGCACTAACTAGATCTCTGAATCAGGAGGGCCAGGGTCAGCTGACGTCAACCAGGACAGCTTCCTTCCCCTGCCCGCAGCTGGCTTGGTCTCAGTGTGGGCGGGCAGTGGGGCTCAACAGTGCCGTACAGAACCCGGGCCTCCAGACTCGTCTTCCACTTGCCCGGCAGGTGAGGCGCCCGACTGCAGAGATATCACTGCCAGACTGCAGCACGTCAAAGTGGGAGACTGTACATCCCAAGAGAAGGTGGACATTCACTATTGTGAGGTAAGGCTTCCGGCTTCACCTGGGCCCAGGCGTAAATGTGGACACCACACTGATGACGTCCGAGGATGATCTGGGGAAGTCACAAGGCAGGGAGGGAAGCAGTGTTAAAAAGAAGTGTTTGAAGATGGGCGTGGTGGTGCACGCCTGTAATTCCAGCACTTGGGAGGCTGAGGCAGGAGGATTGCTGTGAGTTTGAGACCAG